ACATTAAATGTATGTAATCGACTAAAATATTCACCAAATAAACAAAAACGATCGTCAAAAGTATTATATTTAGATCAATCGATGATTACATACAAATGTATCTTTTTTTTTTCATATGTGATCGCCTCTTTCAGTCAAGGGAATAGAGAGAGAAAAAAAAAATATTATTCGAATGATTATCCATTCATTGATCATCAATTAAGATTATAGAAAAAATGTATCATTATTTCTATGGACGAGATCGGTCAGATAGAGAATATTTGAGTATGTCAATATAAATATATTGACATTTATCAGATAAGTAAAATAGATATAGATAATCATGGAGGTTTACAGGATTTACTGTCCACGGATTTACTGTCCATTGATTGTTTTTCTCAGAAAATTGTTTTTTTTCTACAAAAAGTATAATTTTTGCTGCTGAGGATTTACTGTCCATTGATTGAATAACTTTTTTTTTTCAATTAGCGTTTTTCTCGTTTGAGGATTTACTGTCCGTTGATTGCCTCGAAGAATAGAAACGAACAGAAAAATATTTATCGCAATCAACTATGTATATTTAGAAAAAAAAAGAATTCAAACAAATATATGAGGAAATAACAAAGAGAATAAGGAATTGATTAATAAATAAACCAAAAAAGATGAATGGACGTTCAACTTTTTGGTGGACGCTGAAAATATCTAAGTCCAGCAGCTTTTAAGAATGATGGAATATCGAGACGACCTTCATCATAACGCTGCCATAGTTTAATTAAACATTCATCTGTTATAACTTTATTTTTTCGACGCTTTGGAGTTGGAGCTCCCATATTATCTCGTAATCTTGAAATAGTTGCTAATGATTGTTCTTTTTGCAATAAATCAATTGCAACATAAATATTGGGATGCGGAGCATTTACATGCTTCTTCAATCGTGAATGACGACCCTCCAAATAATTAATAGTGCGCGGTAAAATATTACGATAATGGTTGTACATATGCGGTGGGAATTTACTTAAAGGTCCATATGTATTATGAAAATAGTTAAGAAATTCCTCAATGGCTGGATATACAGGTCGAGTATGAATTAAACATTGTAAACCCCATAGCATATGATTCAATGGTAATAAAGATAATGCTGCAAATGATCGAAACCATTCGCGGAGATTTTCATCGTTTTTATAAGCTGTTTTTAGACCAAGATCAACAAATTTACGAAATAAACTTTGTCCATAATGAAATAAACAACCTCGTACAATAACAGTAGGATAATTTTTAGTGAACACATTATAAACAGCTAGCTCAAAATCAATCGTAATTGTTCTTAATCTAATAGGTAACCTGAATTCGAACATTTTCTTAAAAATAACTGTAAATAAATCTGTATAAATTTGCTCATTTTTACCAGTAAGTAGCGCGAAAATGCATGGTGTTGATAT